TCGGCAGGAGGTCCTTCACTCCCAGGCGGAGTGAGGGACCGTCCGCCGAATTGCCGCCGAATACCTGGAACTGCCGCCCCTGTCCGGAACGGCCGCCCCAAGCACCTGCTTGAGAAGCTGGTGCCTGGAGCCGGCCCTGTTGATAGTACATCCTCTCTGGTGACTGATGGCCAAGCACATGTAATAGCACTGGGAAAACTTCTTGCATGTACAACCTTTGGTGACCTTGCAAACACTTTTGTTGAGTCAGTCCTTCATTCTGGCCAGCATTTCAGCTGGATTGATGTAGCCTTTGACAGGTACAGACAGGATTCCATTAAAGGAATGACATGGCAGGCTTCTAGGCCAGTTTGGAAAAATCATTGAGAACAGATCTGTTCCACTTCCCAAAAGCTGGATAGACTTCTTGGCCCATCCTGAAAATAAGACTGATCTGGCTTGCTTCTTCTCTAAAGAACTCCTAGCCAATGCTCTACAAAACAATGGTCATATCTGGAGAATTAAAAGAAGACACTATGGCTAGCTCATCAAACTCAATTCTGAATACAAGCAAGTTGCAAGCTGACCAGGAAGAGGCAGACACCAGGACTGTAATGCACTGCATGCCTACAGATGCTGAGTGTGTTGTCAGCACAAGACACTGATTTTCTTCTTCTGTTTTTGGCATGCTATGACAACATGCCCCGCAGCAAGTTGTGGATGAAAGCTGGAACATCAAACACATCCCAAATATATTCCTATGTATACTATTTGAGAGAAGCTTCTGCCTGTATTTCTTCAAGCAGACATAGAAACAATACTCTCCTTCCATGCAGAGACAAGTTATGGTACTATTTCCTATATTGCTGGGAATAGCAAGAGAGCTGCTTGGACAATATTCATAGAGAAATGTGGACTCAAACTTGTGGAAGGAAATTGTACAGAATGAAACCATCATTTCAGCAGAAAAGTTCATCTGCAACAAATACAATTTCCCTGATGAGGAGAGCTGGCACAAGTGATATTGTTCTCCAAGGGTCTCTCATCGGAGGCACTGCACCCAACAAGTAATGCATTGGGCTATCACAGCCAAAGCGCTCACTTTCAAGCATGGTATGGAGGTAGGCAAACTGCAACAATCCCACACTACCCTCTCAAGAGAATATGGTTTGGACCAAACACAATGATGAACTGGTTGTCATTGGAGCCAAGCCCCAACAGTTGTGTAGAGATTGTTACCTGTGGATGTGTCAAAGAGTGCATATCACAATGCTGTAGCTGCAGAAATGCCACATTGGTCATGCACTGGGGCCTGTAAATGCAAGGAGTGTGTCAGCACCTGTAGGAACCATTAAATTGTACTTGTCTGAACAATGTACAGCACGTATAGTAACTGTTTTTTCTGGAACCAAAAAACGTAGAAATGTACTAACTTAAAAATTTTGGACTCCAATTTAGAAGGTTAAATATTCAAAATTCAGCTTGGTAAAGATAACTTGTTTGCCTACTTTTCCGCAGAAATGACTCTTACATCCTATTTTATGGAAAATGTGCCCAGTTTACCTGCTCTGAGAGGAAATAGAAGACTTCAGTCTCCTGTTATGTCATTATGTACTATATAGAGCCCAAAGGCATTTCCCTCCCACTGTGCTGCTGGCTTCAGAAATCTAAACCTGCCTTCTGACTGGCTCCCTCAATATGGAAGGTCCCATTTAGTCAACATGTCCAGTGATATTTTCCAATATAAGGGATTGTACTAAATGTTAGTGCTTGGTCACTTTGTGTGTGAAGTTTCTGTCAAGAACTCCACAAATATTGCCTCTCCCTTAATGAGTGAAAAACATAAAACAGCCTGGTACATCTTTTGGATCTGTTTGGCAATACATGAATTCCATGTCTGATACTATCAAGCAAAAATTATGCCAAGAAGATACTGACATCTGTTGCCACAACAGAATCAGTGGCATCATCTGCTCAATAACAGAAAGGAGAGCAAATGAACAGTAAAAAAAGACTTTTAAAATCTGTTAGTCCAGCTATGGATTTTCCAGTGTCTGTACATTCCTCTGATGTAAATAAGGCATCTATGTTAGATATTTACAAGATAATATTGTTGCCCAATATAAATACCATGTACCATGAGCTGGGGCAAGGAAATAAAGGTCAGGATCTTATCCACATTTCTGTTCTCTTAGGCCCCAATTCAGGAATGGGTATGCATTAAAGCAGATGCTTTCCTGATTTGGGAAATTTTCTTAGATGATAAACTCTTCAGGGTAGGATCTACCTTTTATTATGTGTCTGTACATTATCTAGCACAATGGGACCCAACATGTTTGGGGCCTTTGAGTGGAACTGGAATTTGAACAATGTGCCTGCTGCAAATACAGAATGATGCAAATATGGAATGCCCTTTGCAAAACCTTTTATTTCACCTCTGTGTGCTTCAGTTTCCTGATCTGTAAAATGGGGGAGATGTTATACTTATCCTTCCACGATTAGGGTGGAATTTGCTTAGGTAATGTTTGTCAAGATCTGGGAAAGAGTATAGTGTCATGCAGTGTGTAGTAAATGCTAAGTATCATATTCATGGAATGTTAAGTATTAAAAATGCACCCCTGTCCAGCCACAGAGGTGGGGAAGTTTGGAAATCACAGTGACTTCAATGGACGGATGTCAGTTTATAACAGCTGAGGAACTAGTTATATATGCTTTAAAGTTTTGTGCTT